CTTGTACCGGTAAGCGGGCAATCACAATCCACACGCAATGCCCCAGCTTTGACAAGCTCATCCAGCTCGCCTCTTGACGGCGCATCGGCTGGGTTGGATGCGGATGGCACACGAGCCCACCACGCCCACGTGTGAGCATGCATCTCCAGGGACTCCCACATCAGCAAAATGTCTCGCATAGGTTTGCTAGAAGACGTACCCTTGATGTAGCTAAGCAGTACCCCGTCGTTATCAATGAAGTACACGCAATATCGTCCCGACAGAGACTGATGAAAGACCTTTCTCGCTGTGAGCACAGCGTAGGCCTCGACTGGACCTATGATGTGCTGAAGGTCCCGGGACCAGGTCGAGACGACACTGTCGCACACATGGCAAGCAAAGTACTTCGGTTGTTGTTCTCGCGGGTCAAACATGATTCCCCCCACTGTGTGGATAGATCCTTCGCTGGCGCCATCGGTAAAGACAAGAATCGGTTTCGGAGGAACCGAACAGGGTACAACCCTAGGAGCACCAAAGGACAGTCGACTGACCAAGAAATCAAAGGCCCTAACCTCCTGCTCTCCAAGACGGAACTTGTCAGCATGCCTGGCCGATGAGGCTCGCAACTCGGCCAAAGCTAGTTTGCCGGTACGTCCCATGATTTGCGAGTCTGAGAACTGAATCCTGCCAGCGACACGGGCGAAATCCCTTTGCCTTACCACACCAGCCTTAATGCATCCCTGTATGACCTCACACACCTCGCTGGCACGACCCTCTTTGTTGCGAACACGGATGAGCGCATCGGGCGCTGAACTGCAGTCTACCTCAACGCCCAACATCGTACCAACCGAAGAAAATGGGGCCAACTTCTCAAGGGAGGCACTAAACCCTAACAGCTGGGACAGGAGCATCATAGTCGCCATGGTGGAATCCTTAAGCAGTGTTGGCGTCATGACTGGGTAGTCATCATAAAAATTGCTCCACCACAGGTGAAGTTCAAGGCCAATCCTCCAAAACAAACGTGACATTCGATTGAAGTGCACCACCGACGCCGTGCTACCGAAGGGTAGCGCTTTGGACTCGAACAAACCCACGCCAAGACCGCTCGGGTCCAACAGTGCAATGATCGCATGAGCACGGCTGCCTGGTGACAATGGGAATTGACGATAAGCATTCTTCAAATCGAACGTTGTAAGCAAAGGCTCCCAAGCCCCGCTGACCCACAGAGGGTGGACACGGCCCACCAACGGTGGCCCTTCAGGCATCGCGAAAAAGAACTGATGTTTTGAAGTGCATGCCTGGGTCCAGCATCGGCAGATGGCAATGATTTCGTCAAGGGCACGCAAGTCAATCTTATCGGCATACGAAAAAGAACCGTTGACTAGATTCTCCGAAAAATCATCAATCGGTCGAAGCTTCCTCTTGCCCGCTGAAGATTGTACCACCGGGAACCTCCTAACCGGGACCCAATGGTCACCATGTCTGGCATGAACCTCCTCCTGCGTCAGAGGTCCTTCAAGAAGGTCGTCCGTCACCTCTTCCAAGGTCTTGTCCCAGAGTTCCTGAGAATGCTCGTTCAGACCCTCAGAGGCGACCTTGCCCAGAAGTGCCGGTCGCAAGAACTTGCTAGCATCAAGAAAGTCCGCCTTAGTTCTTGCTTGTGGTCGCAACTCTCGCTTGAAGACCCCGGTGTGCTTCTGACTACCGACTAAGTCAAACCCTTCCAAGAGCTCACCCAACCAATCCTTGTCGGGCCAGTCCATATCATCAGCAATACGCTTAAGAAGCAACAAGCGCTTGCCTCGAAGCACACGGCCAATGTCAGGATCTAGCTTACCTTTCATTTCTCCTTCGGCAACTTGCAGTTCTTTGGCCCAGCTAAGCCACAATTTCAATTTGGAGCACCGTTGTCGCTGAACCCATTCAGGACCTTTGGTCAAGGCCTCAAACAAACGCCTTTTCACGATAGGCGACAGAACAGCCGAAGCAGCAAAAGGATGTAGCAAGTCCTTGGCCGCATCAACGAACTCATCTGGCGTGGCAAAAACTCCTAAAGAAAGGCGAAATTTCTTACCCTCGTTACCCGCATCGCCACCCGCATCACCCCTGAGAAGAGACGTGGCGATGAGCTTGGATCCTGCTGGCACCTCGCCCAACGGGCGAGTGAGGCACTGCTTGTGGTTCACTGGCGGAACCTGATCGACATCTACCTGCAAGACCTTGCCGAACTCAGGCAGGAGCGAAGCTTCAGGTTTGCCTCTCTTTTGCTGGGCAACACCAGCTGGCGTGGATGACAAAGCCACGTCGGGGCAAGCAAGTCCATGGTGCCGCGCAATTGCTTGGACGACATGTTTGCAGAATTCGGGAGGGTGTGTGACGACTCCACCTTCGACTTGGCCATGCGAATGGTCGCCTTTGCACAAGCAGTTTAGGGACCTTAAAGCCTTGCAATTGGTCCTAAGTTGGCGGCGAAGCTTAAGGGCAGACCCGAAATTACAAAGATCGTAAACAACCTCAGAAGTTGAAGGCAAAGCCCGCACATTCGGCAGATTCCAAAGAAGGCTGGCCTTTGGGTGTTCCAAGGTCCAAGGAATACCTCGTTTGTCCACGCTTTGCAAGAAAGTGCACAAGTGGTTGACCATGGAGTCAGCTAAAGCGAGTCGATCAACAGCTTTGGAGTCGACGGTTCCCACGGGGCTCGTGACCCCGTTGACTAAGTGCCTAAACGCCTGCTGTGGCCCAAACGTGGCATAAGGCGGCTCAGCGTGGACATAAAGAACTGGGTAGGTTTCAAGAACTTCCTCGAGGTAGGTCCAACTCGACGCTTGCGCCAAATCAAGGGCACACAACTTAGACAAAGGGAGCCTGTGCCCCCCACGGTCCACTGGGAAAACCTCAAACCCATGTTGTTTGAAAACCCTAGACAAGGCACCACTACGAGCAAACAATTCGATGACGATCCCTTGCACTGGACTCCTCGACGGATCGCCGATGTGCTGTGGATCATATGCCGGCCTTTGCTCAAGAAGTGGCGGGCTGCTGGTCCCATTCCTGAAGTCCGCAAAGCACGCTTGCTCAGCCACCTGGTTGCCGGTGGCGGGGTACTGCGATGGAAGTGCGAACCCCAAGGCTTCCAGCTCAACCTTATCCGAGTCTTGAAGCATCTCACCGCCTTGTACAGAGTATCCGATAAGGACCATTCGCCGACCTTCCCAACTCAGGGTGAGGTGCTTCTGAACCCTAGCTTGAAATCTTACGGGGCCTAACCCTAAATCCAAGGTGGTTCCCAGCAGCTCTTGGCCATCGACTGTCAAACGCTCTTTGCCAACATCGGATTCCACCCAAATCCCACCACCAGAAAACCTGTTTAGTGGAACTACCAAGTTTGGGATGAAGGCATTCTGGCTATCTGCATGCAATGCAGTCTGGTTGTCCACAGAAAGCAGCAAGGAAGTAAATTCATGCCCAGGATGGGCATGCCGCAGAATTCTCGATAGTAGCTTTGTCGTGCTTGGGAAGATTTTGCAATTTCGACGCAATCCCACTTTGATGTGTACAAAAGCACCGCTATGGAATGCACTGCAAGAAGCGTCCGCGTTGCTCCGGCGTTCGCCGGTCAACTCGCCATGCGGCAAGAGGCTAACGAGCTCTTCAATCTCCTCTGGAGTGGGCAACCTGTCAGCCTCAAGCAACTGTTGTGAAAGGATTTCGGCGGAAGCACCGCCGGCTGCATCAACGCTCATACCTGTATCGGCTCCGACCTGATGGGAGGTGGAACCGACCGGACCTGAGATACCTAGTCAAGAACCACCTGCTTTCGGACAGTTGCCGTAATAGTGCCCAGACTTCAGGCAGCCAGCTCGGCAGCATATGTGCAACCCTTTGTCGCACCTTCCTGATGTCACTCTGCGCTTGCATCTATTGAGATTATAATCCCAACAGATTGCGTACCCTTTAGGCGTGAAAGATAACCCCCCATCAGCAATCTCCTTAGGCATCGCAGCAGTGATGGCAGTGGTGTCCCGCTTCCCTTTACCGCCCTTCTGACCTTTACCTCCCTTGCCGTTCTTGCCGTCGCCTTTTCGGGGCGTCCATGTGGGGTCTGGTCTAGGCACCGCTGCAAGAAGGGGTTGCATTAGGTGCGCCACATCCGGGTGATTGCGAGCTGTCTCGAAGTGCAAATCACATGGCCTACCCTTCGCCTGAAGCTGTATTCCTTCCCGGGTGAGCTCGGCAAGTTTGATGAAGAATTGCCTGTCAGCATGAATGACCTGTTGCAAGGAAACGCGGCTGTACCCTGTCGGGGGTTCTCGGAAACGGCACGCGAGCAGTTGCTCGGTCCATGCGTCATGCAGTGTATATGAGATGATTCCCGCTTGCTCCATCGCTAGGCCACGCCTAGTAAGAGCATACCGCATGAGCAAATCAGAGGAAATGTCTGCATCCATCTTGTTGTTCACCAGGCCTTTGAGTCGAACATTTCCCCCGCTTTCTACGACAAGATGCCTGTCCTCCTTGAGCGTGGCTTGCTTGATTTCATCTTCCTTAGAGGTGCAGGCTGAAAGCTCAACGTAGACAAGCCGGTTTTCCTCATAGATCGCCACGCAACGATCCACGAGTCGATCAGATGGCTCAAGAGGACCTCGGATGCTTATCCCAGGTAAGCGTTTCTGTTGCTTGGCCAACCGGTCGGCCCTGTCTGGCTGAGCCAATCTCTTGACAGGCCCGTCCTCGACACGTTCCACTGACTGCTTCAACTCAGCAGAGGTGAGCGAGTAGGATTCATGGAATAAGCGTCGAAGTACTGACAATTCTCCCACGCTACCATCCCTACCCAGAAGAGTTGCGATGGAATCAAGAAAAGGCTTCTCATCCTGAGCGCCCGGGGTGTATGAAGACGAAAAGGCAAACTTGGCCAATGTGTCAATACCCCCGTCGACGATCTTCTGCAGAACGGCCTCATCAAGCCCCAGCGCGATGGCCCTCGCACGGAAATTTGCGGCGGAATCAGTGACCGACATTGCTACGACTACACCCTCCGCCAGCTCTGAGAAGCACACTTGTTCACGCAGTATTTACGCTTCGCCTCTCCACACTGTTGCTCTACAGCACCTCTGCAAAAGTAATCACTTCACTCGGCATTCGCGCAGCACACATCACAGGACCCTGTATTTGCTGCACGCCATAGACTCGACGCTCAAACAAGACAAGACTTTGCGATCCACCATGACCCACGTCACTGCTAAGCACGTCAACACAAAGTCTTGCCCTTTCGCCAAGGGCAGATCGCCCCGGATCCAAGCGATCCTCATAGCGCTGACTCAAGTCTCCAAGAAGGACTCTCACGATCCTTCAAGGCCATCGAAGGTATCATGCGATGCTGTGCCCAAAATTCCAGCTCGGGCCCGAATCAGCCGACATGCGAGTGGAGGCACCAGCATCCACCCAACCCGAGCCCGCACCAGCTCCTCTACCGGGTTGGATGTGACAAACCCAAACCCACTCCGGTCCAGCCCGAACCAGCTCTCATCGGACCGGGTGGCACTTCTTGCACAAAGGATGCAAAAAGGAAACTCCACTGTTCATCTCAACGTAATTCGAAGAGATCTTTGTTCCACATGCAAAAGTGGCACCGGCCTCGTCGGCCACAAAATGAATGATCCTCGAGAGTTTGTGCCGGAACATACGGCGATCACTGGCAGCGCCCTGTGGTCTCCACGGCGCTCCAATCTCCTCCAGAGCTCTTTCCTCGGCTCCGAGATCACCAACGTTGTCCTCTTCGTCCTGTGAATCTTCCGACTCGCTAGCTCCACCGTTGGATTCATAGTCGGGAGGATCACCCTCGGGCTCTGCTGAGGGCGTCGCCACCTCGCAAGGAAAATGTCCGCTCCGAGTGGCATCAGGCCTAAAACGATCCTCCCTGATTTCACCAAGGACTCTCTCCAGAGCTCGCACAGCACTAGAAATCTCATCACGAGAGTAAAGAATGACCATCGCAGCAGCTCGGTCTGTGTGGTAACCGAGTGTGCGACGCACAGACTGATCGAGACCAAATTTCCCGCACCAGCTGAGGGTAGTGCACTTGCACGAATGGGTACCCAACTTGGCGAGGGCCCCGTGATCAAAACCTCCTTTGCTCAGAATGCCCTTAAGCCAGGATGCAGCGACAGTGGCGCTCGGTGGCACGAGTAGCCATTCTCCCGAAGCTCCTGTACCAGGGAGCAGCGGCACACCGCTGCCCGTCGGCATCTTGTGAAGCTCCCGTAGCTTCATCCACACTCCCGCCCAATCGAGTCCTGTGACACCTAAGCGTGGGCAGACCATGGGCAAAAGCATCGTCTTTCTTTCAGTCGTGAAGGAAGTCTTTGATCGAAGAACCTCTCCTTCCAAGTATCCAGCCACCTCATTGGCTAGACCACTTGGAGTGTCCAATTGCAGGTTTCCAAGGTTCATCCCGTCTGAAAACCGAGCTCGCATGAACACCAAGCAAAGAAAGAAACCCGCGCAGATTCTATCAATTGCCCTGGCAGTCGGATCACAAACGAGATTCTCCAAGAAAGCCACCATAGCAACCGTGAGTGGCGGTCTCCGAGTCTTCTTGCGCTTGGCGAGGTAGGTGAGCCTCGCTATGCCAGTCACCCGACCGCTGAGCAAGCAATCGGCTCCACCTGTGACACCGAGGACGTGCACAGAGAAAGATATGGATACAATGAAGCTCCTCAAGAAAGTTGGGGCAGATGAAAACTCGCAACTCTTGCAAAACTCGTATACCTGCCCCTCCTCAAGGGGAAAAGGATCCATGGCAGCCTGAACACTCCAACGAATGTACCTAAGCATCGGACCAGCCCTCTGATGCAGAGTGCCAGCTGCCTTCCCAGCAAAAATGTGGCCGAGGCTTTCCAAGATGAGGGGTTCAAGTCTGTGCTCACCTCGCAGACGCCGGCCGATATCGAAGCTCAGAGGGGAGTGCATAATAATCACACCCCACTTCCTAATACCCGCGACCAGCTCACGTTCCAGCTTGTGTTCCCACGAAATCCCGTGCCAATGTTTGCCCATCTTCAATGGCGAGTCTCCTGACACACCCGGTCTCTTGGCCTGACTGACGGACCCGGAAGATGCCGCTTCAGCTCGAGGTCCTGCTATCAGCGGCAACGGTCCCCTTGCAGCAGGGAGACGAAAAACTAAGTTCGTGGGCTCGCTAATTGTCTCCCACGTAGGTCTGAAAGATGACTGGTGACTCGCTCTGATGCAAAAGGACAAGTGCGCATCAAGTGCAGCGGCATCCACAGGCACGTCTCCCATGTAGGCTCACAGGGATACCCTGATCCACTGAGAGAGGGCGCCTTCGCAGCCACTTACATTACAAAGAGTCACTCACAAAGCCGTCAAGGAAAATCTACCGAGTTCGCAAACGAGCCAAGCATGACGGTCGTTGAGTGCTAAAGCAATTGCACAAACACCCAAGACCGAAAGCGTCAGGCCTCTCACAGTTGAAGAAACAAGAACTTTGATTCCCAGAGCAGCCCTCGCGGCAAAGCGTGAGTTGACATGTAGGCACTCCTAAAATCGGCACACACACGAACTTTTCTTATTCAAGCTGCAAACAAAATCCGGACCTCGGGCACCCCATCCAACCTTCAAGGACGGCAAGGCGCCTTTGACCTTTGATCACAACTCCGGGGTCCAGGTGATTCCGGATCCTTAAGCAAAGTTACTAAAGATGCAACTGCTCTTTGCTCAGTCCTCCAGCAAAAGAATTTGCTGTATGCCCATCTGCCGTGGTCAACGGGACCACACGGCGTGCACGACCTAACAGCACCTCGCGTTAGGAGCTCTTGAACCTTCTAGATGCACGCTACTGGCCCCAAGGCTTTCCACGGCTCTCTAACCGCACACCCCCGTCAAGAACTTGTGTCGAGACGGTTTGGCGGTGAGGTAAAGCACACGGGATAGGGATTAGGGTACTTTTTGGATTTTTGCAAGCTCGCCACAAGTGGCTCGCCTCGCACGCAAAAAGGGGTTGGTAGACAAGTCTACAACTGCTCTGGTGATCACCGCCCTGGCTTGGTCGTTAAGGACTTGCGAGAGATGCCTGCGTTGTGGCTTCTGCTGCTGTCGACGAGGACGTGGTTTCCGAGGAGCTGGAGTGGATCCTGCTCTTCAACACCTTCCTGAGACCCCAGCTCCCCAGGCGTACGCTACTGTCTCTCTGGTGGGCCCTGGCGGTTCCGCCCCAGTGGACACCGAGTACTACCAGAGGCAGGTAAGAGGCCGAGGCGCTGGGCGAAGACCTCATGACCTGGTCCTTCGATTTGACCAAGGGGCGGTTCGCTTGCAGCCAGACTGGTCGCAAAGGACCCGAGTTGACCGCCATGGGCTGTGGATTAAGCCCGGACGGGTCTTGGGCGTCACCGCCAGGAGAGAAGGTTGAGAGAGCCCCTCAGATTCATCTCTGTCGCACGGAGGACTGCCAACAGGAAGGGGATTTTCACTGCAAGGCTTACGCGGCCATCGATGCGGACGCAGTCATCGACCTGGGAGCCTATGGGCGTCTCAACAGTTGGAGAGTACTTGTTCTCTGCTGGCGAGGAGTCCGTGCTTGCCGGCGAGGTCTTGGATGCTGCTGGCGCTGCTGCTCCTGCCGAAGATCTACTGAGGCTCCACGCCAAATGCAAGATCATGGGGTGATCCGCCCTCTGGACCCCGATTCTGAGTCGGAAGCAGAGGTCGTGTCCGACCCTTGCGAGGCAGTGCTGGTAGGGCTGGAGCTCCAGGGTAAACCTCGAGCTCTGGCACCAGGAGGCTGTGAGGATAAGGCTGCAAGCGAGCCCACTCGGTTGCTTGTTGATGATCTTCAACTTTCGGATTTGGGAGGAAGAGAGTGTGCTCGCCTTTGCAACCACCACAGTCAGCTATATATGCTTTCTTGCCAAGGGAGGAAGTGCAGTGTGTTATCCTGCTTTAGCAAGACCTACCCCTCTTTGCAAGAAGCGTGCAGTCCGCTTTTCAGACCAGGCGTCGCCTGGGCCTAGCCCTAGGAAAGTAGGGATCGCTTCAGAGTATGAACCTCCTTCGAAGAACGAACGTTCTGCGCACCCCAAAGCTGGTGCACCTTTGCTCATTCGTATTCGCCCATTCTTCGGAACAGGAGTGGCTACATGCTGGTACCTGTTTCTCGGAGAAGTCGAGGGCATCTCGGAGGACAGCCGTCGCACAGAAAGGGCAGCTGTGAAGATTCGCTCTTTGGGTCTAAGGCTCAGCTTACCCTGGCATTGTCTTGGCGATCCGCCCAAAACGGATTCTTCCCACCGTTAACCGTTACCCCAAGGCTTGGTTGCAGGAGTTTCTCTACTCCCCACCCTCAGATCTGGAAGCCCGGGGTCTGTCGGTCCAGGCGGTTCAACTTGCTGCTCACGCTTGGGATTGGTTACAGGACTGGGACGGAAAAAGGGTCAAGGGAGAAGGTGAACCACCCTCTAGTCTCCGCCCAGAGGATCTAAGGCGGCTTCTGACTGATCCACAAATGGTCCTGCTCGGACACGATGAAGGTCGAGTCCTTACGGTCTCCTCTTCCACGAAAGAGAGCGAGTTTGGAACGCCACCTCGCCCTCCCACTGTCACTGTTTCGGAAGTTATCCCGAATGACGGGATAGATGAAGGTGTTCCACCCGAAGTGGACCCTGTGTTGCTCCTAGAGTCCTTCAGAGACGCTAGGGCTTCGGGCACATCCGTCAGCGAAGCAACCACTCTGGTCGCCACCGCGTTTGGGGTGAGCCCTGAGGTTGTGCAGTTGAGCGTGCTGGGGGTCGTCGATGCCCCAAAGTCCGAACCTACCCCCACGGAGGACCCGCTCTCTTGGACCAGGAGGTCTCAGTTGGAGGTCGGTCCGCCCCCACTTCCACCTCCCCCTCTCCCGCCGGGGCTTACCCAGGGCTCAGGGTTGGTGGTTAGTCGGGGTAGCTCTTCGGGCAACCAGCTCCTTAGTTTAGGGAGCACTCCCCTTACGGTAACGAGCCAG